GTTGTTTTCATTTACTCTTAATATAGTTTCATGCATTTTTAATTTGCAATCTTTGTTCATATTTTATATGGTCAAGTAAATGGTTTACTTCATCTTCTTATTGCTGTAGAAGTGTGTGTTTTAAATGAAGAAAACCAGTTTTGTCTTTCATACCTATCATAAGTATTGTTTCTGTTTTACATTTGTTTTAATTTTTAAATTTGGAAAAGTCAAATTTTTCATTCATGTGTGATCCTAAATTGTCTTATCTAGAAAGACAAAATTTCTTTCTGATATTCTATCCCTATTATAATTAAGTGTATAATCTAAAATGTTTCTACAAATAATGAAGATTTAAATTTTTATAAATCAGGGCAATCCTCTTTCTGATCCCCCTTCTGTCTCTTTTAGAGAGCATCTTTCTTTCAACAAATTTTTCCTACTCTTAAAAATTTTTTTTTAAATAATTTTTATAAATCTCATTTTTATTTCCAAGTTTCAGTGTTCAAATGCAGAAGACACTTTGTCTGATGAAAGTGGAGTCATTTTGCAAACAACTTGGCAATGGTCTTTCTAGTCCACACTTTCTGAAAAATCTGCATATTTTCCCTGCAGTTCACATTTTCCCAAAGGGAATCTCAGAGGAAAGCAGCTACCTGAACATTTTCCTTGAGTGTCCATTAATCAGTTCTCTAAAGTTACGCTCTTCCGGTTAATACAGTCTCGCTACTTTCAAAACGGCCAAGATACGGAAGTAAACATCAGTTCCTGGCTTCCCTGGCGCCTCCCTCCACCAGTGAGGGGCACGGTCCGAATTTACACACAGGGAACTGGGCGATGGGCTTACAGACAAAGCCTTGCCCCCTCCCCTTGAGGCTTTACTACTGATCATCAGCACTTTGTATTACTAGTAATATAATATTTTTGTTAACAAAGACAGTTTGGTGAATACAGGAACATAGGCTTTGTATGAAACCCGGCCAGCGGAGGAAAGGGTTATAGAACCACGCCTAGGCCCAGTCTCGTCTTGGATTACAGAATCTCTGTCCTCCCCACCTACTCTCAACAGTCAAATTAAAGGGAGAGCAAACAAACAAATCCTCAAAGTTCCCCGTCTTGCTGAGCTGGCCGATGAGTTGCTAATGCAAAGCATATGTTGACAAAATAAGTTGAGAAATTGTACCTAAGAGAACTCATTTATTTCACCATTCTAGAAGGTGTATGGAGAGTAGTCGCCTCTGCTCTGCTGGCTGGACACACTGGTCACTCTCACTCCTGCCCGAGTGGCCGCCCAGGTGTACCTATAGGTTGGGGTCCTTGTCTGGCACTGGCCCGAGGCTGTGACACGTGCCCCCACCCCGATTCCCAGAGCCAGACCGAGACATCCGTCACCAGCCCAGCTCCAAAACCTGTGGCCCTTTGGTTTGTGTCTGACCACTGAGCCACAGCGGCTCCCTGGGGACCTCACGGTGACGACTGGGAGGGGACAGCAGCAGCATTTTGACAAGGCTGCACTTTGACAGTGTAATCACAGTGCACCTGAGACTTTCCAAGCGTCGTCAGATATAATTAATATTCTGCAGCTTTCTTAGTTAATGCTTATTCAAACGCTTGATTGCAGTTTTAAGAAAAGGAAGACTGTGCTACTTTAACGACACGTGCTCATGATTCCCTGATCGTAATGGTCCCGTCACTCCCACCTCTAACCTCTCATTATCATCACCACACGAAATCACGGGTCACCTTTAAAAGCAAGAGGCCAAGAAAGCTGAGATAACACCAAAGCTATTTTCCTAGGCCTCACATTTCACAATAATCATGAAACAATGTTATCTTGATTTTCTGCATTTTTAAGAACAATTTTCCTTTGCAGGTTCACTTTTCTTCACTTTTGCAGTTGCTAATGGGATTTATTTTCAAACTTCGATATTATCATGTTATCACAGCTGGAAATTGATGTCAACTTCAATTACTCTCTGACTTGTGGCAAATAAATACTACTTCACAGAACACATGCTGGATATCCGTCACACAGGACAATTACCCCCCTCTCCAGGGGAGGATGATGGAGAGAGGTGGAAAAACTTATATTTTAGGATGGCATGACAGTATGGTTGCAGAGAGCAAAAAAAGAACTAAAAAGCAAGAGACACTGCATGGTCAGTGAAGGTCAGGGTTTTATAATTAGCAATAATTGCTCATAAAACTCATTGAGCAACTATGGATCTCATTTCAGAGAATTTAATTATCACATTTTTATTTCTAATTTTAGGATTTTTTTCCTTGTACATAACAAGAGAAGTCTTGTTTTACATCTCCATATTAAAATGGATGCATTGGGAGGGGACAAACCGCATGCTATTATGGGCACATTTGTTGAAAAAGAAGACGATGTCATAATTTGTACATTAACTTTAAATACTTTCTGTGTATAGTAAATAATACATTGATTGACTACTATTCAAATTATAATGGAATCATCAATGATTCTAAAGTACAGATTCTAGGCTTTGTTTCTTGGGCATTAAATGCACATGTTAAGTTTCTCAAGGAAAAACCCTTATGGCAGTTAAAAAGATACATTTCTTTATAGTAAACCACCCAAGTTGTGCAGCATACCATCATCAGTTTTAGTCAGTGCATACTCTGGGCTGCCACCAACAGCCACCATGGGTATTGGAACAAGGACAGCTCTGAGTGACAACCCTCCTGACAGCTCCCCGGTCAGCAGTCCAAACAGACCCTTGCTCCAAAGCGCCTATCTCAATGCCAGCTATTTCAGCCTCGTTAGTTAACCCTGAGATACAACACTGGGAGACCAGGGAACAAATAACATTAGAGCCCCCACTTCCCAATTAATTAGAACTTGATGCTGGCTGGAACCACTTTTCAACCCGCCAATGCTGCATTATGAAAGAATGAACCAGTTCTCACGCGTGTCTCTCTGACACACCTCACATTTCCCTTGCACGCTACTGTACATTCAGAACTTTACATTAGTACAGCCCGGAGCACTTAGTAGTCGCTGGTATAACCGTGGCTTCTGTTAGGTTTTGCCCATTTGGACGACACATGCTGCAGCCCCCCAAAGTTACTGGGTAACCACAGAATGGTGCTTCCAGCGGGTATTTCAAACACAGAGGTAGGAGGAAGAATTACGCTGGTCAACATGAAGATGAAAACTTCACTCTAACTTTAAGACCAAGCAAGGGACGGAAATTTGAACACGGGCCTCTGTCTTAATTGTAGGGCATGAGGAAAGTGAGACATTCATAGTAACTAGTAGAGTTTCTTAGCATCCCCTCCCTTTTACCAGAAGTATCTAAGTGAGTTGAAGGCTAGGGTGGCGCACATCTCCCCAGCTGATAATCAAGGCTCCCTCGGGCTCCCCTATCAATCTGGGGAATGATCTTTGGGACCTGAAAACAAATCACAGAGAGCCGAATTGTTCTAACCTTAACATCTCCACTGTTGCTCCAACAATAAACTACAGGATACAGCTACATTCCAGACTTCAGGCTCACAAACACAAAGTGACCGCAACATCACTGTAACAGGGTGATACACTGTAGAAGACAAGCAACCAATCAAATTACTACATAAGATGGGGTTCCTATATGTGAAGGAATTATAGCAAATGGGAATATTTTAAAAAGAAGTATTTTTAAGTATACATATTTGTGGGCCAGGGCTTTTAGCTCAGTGGTGCTGCCACCTGCCTCATAAGTGCAAGGTCCTGAGTTGAATCCCCATTCCCCAGTTCAGGGAAAAAAAAAAAACACTAAGAATACATATTTTCTATTTGCTTTTTAACAATATTAACAGAGTCATTTTGTAGATATTGAAATAAACTGGATTCTCTATTATCTTTTTAGCCTTAATTCTGCAGTTTTTGTTAGTTCACTTTGTTACAATGGATTGCTATTCCCGAGGAGTGGTGGCACTTGCAGCAATGGAAGAGCAGAACCTGACTAAAATCTGGAATAGCAGGAATGATGGGGAAGTGTTGCGCATGTAGACCGACACCTTGTTCAAACATCCAAGAGCAGGGCGACAGGTGCTACTCAAAAAGGAAACTGACCTCACTTAGAAGAGTCAGCTGATGCATACTACATATTTGGAGAAATTATTCTCAGACAGAAAACAGATACTGTAGGTGACCCACCCAAAAGAGAAGATAATTTATATTTTTTAAAAATACATCAATACTATTAATATATTTGAAATACATTATTTTCATTCCACAAAATAATGAATAAACTCTATGATCTTTGTGCGCATTTCCATCAGCATTAGAAACAATACCACTGAATCTAAGGAGCACAATTCCTTCTGCCTACTGTCAATTTTTGTAAAAACCTCCAGATACCAAATTCAATCTTCTAATCAACGGAGAAATTTAAAATCAGAAGGTAAAAGCTTTGTTTGCCCTAAGTGAATGTATTTGAATATGCTCATCAGTTTTTAAAAATATGATTTCTTTGAAAGGAATATTCCTCTTTCATTTGTCAAATAGATACATACTTTTTTCTGTTGACAAATGAAAAAATGTAATTTAATTTCAATCCAGGAAATCTTTTTCTTTCTTCACGGCGAAAATCACAGATCAGAAGCAGAAACTCATAGAGACTATGAAGCTCTGCCAAGCCTGGACTATTTTTCCTGTTCTCACGTCCCACTTCTGTGTTCTCCTGACTGGATATAGTCTCAGCAACACGAAGTTTTTACGTTGTTGTGCGGACTACGTGGTTGCATTTACCTCAGTGATTTTCCCCTCAACTCCACAGCTGCTTAAAAACTACGGCGGCTTGAAACTTTGTTTAAATTACCTTGCCAGAGCCCTTCTAAAGATCTGCAGCGATCTGATTCGCGAATGTGAAGTCAGATTGCTTTCTAGGGGTTTCCGGACGGCGGGGAAGGGGCAGGGCACAGTCAGGGATGCACTGCTACAGTTTGCGGCCAGGGGCGCCGATCTGACCGCGCCGGCTGTGTGCAGAGTCTGCGCGCACCGGCCGCCTTACCTGACTTTCAGGTTCCCCTGCTGCGGCTGCCCGTCGTACACCGACAGGATGTCGAAGTCCTCTTCCAGGGCGAAGGCGTGGAAAGACAGCTGGATGCGGCTGCGCTCCCCCGTGACGATGACCCACGTGCAGTTGGCGTAGTTGGGGTAGCCGTGGGGGAAGCCCGGGCTCTCAATCGTGCCGTTGGGGCCCTGGACCAAGCCTCCGCAGTTCTGACCTGGGGGAACACACACAGCGTCAGCCTGAGTCTCCCACGATCCCCCGCTTGGAGGGCCCATTCGTATCCTGAGTTAACTGGGATCCCCACGCACAAACGTGGAGGGCTAAGTCCGTCCTGCCGAGGGACAGACAGGGAGGGCAGACAGAACCACACCTGGGAGTTTCCCGAGCAGCCTGGGGAAGCCTTGTTACTGGCAAACACGGTCTCATCGGCGCAGACTACCACGCAGGTGCAACGCATTCGGTGCCAAAGGTCTGCACGGTACCGTGCTCACCTGCCTTGTCCTCCTTGAGTTCTTTGGAGGAAACCGAACTACAGATGAAACACCGTTAAAAAGCACACGCCGTGCGCGCGCGCACACAAGTCCTTGATGCAGCCGGATGACCGCGGGTGTGGTACCATGACCAGGAAAACCATGTGGCTGATTAGCCTCGGGGCTGGAAGAGGAACCCCGCAAGCAGAGGAGAAAGAGACCTCAGAGAAACAAAAGTAACGGACAAGATAATCTAGGTGACCCCCAAACGAAGAGCGGCCCAGCACAAGAACAGAAGGACGCCATTACTATTATACCACTGCCCTTACACAAGTGGGACCTGAAAGAGGACGGAGAAGGAAAGCGTGCCTCAGAAGGCCGTCCGCCCAGCCATCGGGGATCTGGTCTTTCTCGGGTGTGCAGCTCCTCCCCTCAGGCAGGGGGACAGGACTCTGGAGCTTAGGTCCCCGTGCTAAGGGAAACAGGGAGCTGGGTGCAGAGCCAGTCAGGCTGCAGCCTCTTTCCTGGGCTCCTCAGGGGCAGCTCCGGAGCGCAGGGGCTCTTTGTACACTGAAGGTGTGGCTCCTTCAAGTGTCTTCTGGTGAAAGCAGAGCCTGCAGGGAACTGGGAAAGGCCACGCCCTCACCCGCCAGCCCCGCCTCCACTCCCACTTCCTCCTTCTCCACCTGCCCTGTGGCCTGCACTGCTCCTCCTGCCTCTTGGGCTCCACTCTGCACCTGTGCCTTCCCCGTGACCACAGCCCTGCCTAACAAGCTGCACCTGCCTCCCTCCTGGGTCCACTGCCCAGGCCAGCCTTCAGGGTCCTGCTCAGTGGGCCCTGGGCACTCAACTTTGTTCTCTTCAGCTCCCTCCCACCTTCTGCCTGCCCTGGCCACGCGGAGGGATGGTCCGTGTAATGAGATAGAGCAGACACCAGGGCCAGGCAGTACATGGATGGCCCGGACTGCCCTAGGGGCGACAAGACCTTCAGGTGCTGGAGCCGTGACGCCTGCAGCCATTCCCACATCGAACTGCCCTGAGCTTGGCGCCCACGAAGGCCCTGGAAACCGCAGTCTCTCCTTCCCTCTCATTCTCCACCATTGTGTTTGAAATGTGTTTAAATGTTTGGACACAGAATATAAGAGAAGCCCCGGGTGTGCTTGGGTTGTTGCACACAGCGTAAGCACTGAAGCCCAAGCATTACCCCAGCTTTCACTGTGGAAGCACACGCAGAAAACTACTTCCAACTGTCTTTTATTCTAAAAACAAACACAGTACTAGGTCTCAGTGAGCTCAAATATTTCAGAGTAATAGCAAATGCTTGTGGGAGTTTGCTAGATTTCAATTTAAAAAGCTTTAACAAAAGGAATTTATGAGTTTAAAACTAAAGAACTAAGAAGAGGCCCATTTCCCACAGAATTTAAATCTGACAATAACACCGCAACAGGATGATATTAAAGCTGTGGGGGTTTTGAAAGATCTTTTAAGAAAATAGCTTTTCTAGTTTGTCCAGCACTTCTCTGCGGTAAATAAAAAAATGAGGATGAGTATAAGTCAGAGGGGGAAAAATTCAACAGAAGAGTATCAGTATCAGCTCTTAAGAATTCGCTATGGACTGGCTTCTGGTGGGCTTAGGGTGTGCTTTTCTTTACAGTGCCTTCTGCAGAACGACTTTTCCGTGGGCCCTGTTAGAGACTCGGGATCCACTGCAAAGTTCTCAGGAAATGATTCTCGTCCTTGGCAGCACTTTGTAACCAACAAAGAAGTTTTTAAGTTTCTACACCTAAGACAGCTTCTGATATATTTGGTCTGGGCCAAGAATATCCAAGACAACCTTGAAAAAGAATAAAACTGGAGATCTTGACACACCTCTTGTTGCATCTGATTGTAAAGCTACAGCAATTAAACTAGGGTATTTGCCAAGTTAAAGAGCCACCAGCAGGGGAAAGAAATCCAAAAAGCCCACTCAGACTCCGAAGCCAGATTTACAGCAAAGCCACTGGAATGCACTAGAAAGAGGTCAGGCTTTGCAGCACATGGTGCCAGACAACTGGAAATCCAAGTGGGAAAAGCAAGCCTCAGGTCAAGTCTCACAGGATATATAAAGACCGACCCGGCTGAGTTGCAGACTTAAATGCACACATGAAATAATAATGCTTCCAGGAGAAAACAACTCAAGAAGTCTTTGCTGTGTGTGCACACATTTTAAATCGAACACAAGAAAAATAATAAATCAATGAATTACAAAGAAACCCCAAAAAGAGTTTTTTGCAATGGATAATTAAAAAAATAACATATAACAAAGTAATAGATAAACCTCATTTCTTTAATGAACTTTAGGGAACTTTTCTTTAGTAAGAAAAAGGCAACAGGGTGGAAAGACATGATACCTAGCAGAAGACATAGAAACAGAAATGAAAATAGATGAAAGGATCATGAAGTGGAACCAACTGATCTCACCTTGGGGCCATTCCCAGACCTGCAGCTATAAGAAAACAGAATTTTCTGCTAAAGACATACACAAAAAATCTTCCTTAGCTTCTCTTTGTAGAAGCAATAGCCCTGCCCTGTCTCTTTGGCACAACTTTTGGTCCCCTGGGGAAGTGACAATTCACCTCCAAGTCAGTGTCAACTGATCTAGGCAAGCACTTGGGCTTTAATAAAAATAAAAAGAGCCATATTAAAAGAATTATTAGTCTAAGCAACATCACTGCAATAGTATTGACCAGAGTCATTCAGGGTAAATGACATTCCGAACCCTAACTAATATTAAATTGAAGAAATCTCCCTTATTAATAGTTACCTTGAAGTTATGGATCAAAACAACATTATTTCCTACATAATGCTCACAAAACAATGACTGTACAATTCATAATTATTCTCCAAATGTGTATTCCAAACACACAAAGTACTTATAATTGAGGGACACAAGTAATTTATAGGCTTGCCTTTATTAATACCAGAATTTAACTCAAGTAAGATGCTAATATATATTGTAAAGAATTGCCTCAATAGGATCAAGTATTTTAATTGAATAAAATAAGCTCATAGATAAATGCTTGTGTTATAACTGCCAACCTTGTAAATTTTTAGGTTTTACATGCAACTTCAAATAAAAAATAGGACTTAAATATTGTTCTATGAGCAAATGGGATGTTTCCAGTTTTACAAACTGTGCCACTATAACCATGGGTGAGCATATATCACTGTGGTATGATTTTTAAAATTCTTTTGGGAAGATGCCCAGCAGAGGGATAGCCAGGTCAAATGGGACCTCTAATCCTAGTTCTTTGAGATATCTCCATATTGATTTCCACAGTGGTTGCACCAGTCTGCACTCCCACCAACAGTGGAGAAGGGTTCCTTTCTCCCCACAACCCTGCCAGCATTTGATATTGGTTGATTTCTTGATAGTAGCCATTCTTTCTGAGGTAAGGTAGAATCTCAGTGTGCTTTTCATCTGTTTCTCTCAAATGACCAGTGATATTGAACATTTTTTGCATGTTTATTTGCTGCTTTTACTTCTTTGTCTGAGAAGTGTCTGTTCATTTCAGATGCCAAGACTGGATACAGAAGATATGTGTGTGTGACTGGATACAGAAGATGTGTGTGTGTGTGTGTGTGTGTGTGTGTGTTTTAATAAAATGGAGCACTACTCAGCCATAAAGAATGAGAAACTAGGGGCATTTATAGCTAAGTATGCATATTGAGACCATACTCTTAAGTGAAATTAATAGGACACACATGTGTAAATATTGTATGGTTTCTTTGTTGTAATAAAATAAATGTGTAAATAAGGATCAAAATGAATAATTGCTACTGTGTAATACGAAGAAAAGGTCTAAAAGTGTAGGGGAATTTGGAGAAATAGAGGAAAGGAAAGAAGGGAAAAGAAAAAATAAGAGAAAAGGAAAAACATGGAAACAAAGTCTTTGTAAAGAGGAAAGGGTGGAGCGGGTGAAGAGAAGGCAGGAGAATAGGGACAAAATAAGAACCAAGATACATCACGTAAAGGTACAAGACTCCAATGATGAATGTAACTGTACTGTGTACCTAAATTGTACCAATTAAAAAAAAATAGTTCTGTGAGCAGCAAATGTTAGGGGTTTTCCTCAAGTATTTGAGAGTGAACATTTTATCTCCTCTCCCTTATATGATTACCTCTTCAAATCTTATTCTCTAATGGGCACTTTCTGCTGCAGGGCTCAAAATCTCTATAAATTTTTTCTCTTTAAATGGTATAGATCTAAGTGTGCTTTAAATGTTCTCCTTAAATATAACTTCAAACAAGCAGATTATTTTAACTATAAAACTTTCCATGGATAAGCTCTTAATTACTACCACATAATCATGCTTTAATATATTTCTCAACATGAATCTCCTGTGAATACATTTGTTAGTTATATTTCCTTAGGGAACAAAGAAATCTGCAGTGATTCAGTGATAATTGTAATATTATAGCTAAAATTGCATTGAATATTTGTTCAATTGCTACTGAAAATTTATGATAGTCTCCTTTCATTCAGGAACTGGCGCTAGGCTAGAACAAGACATGAAAGTAAACACTGATAACAGTAAGAAAACAGAAGAAATATCCACGTGTGAACATATATGTAAATGTATATAAATGCATAATTGTCCCCCATCCAAACTGGTGTCAACTTCCTATGTAAATGTATGTGCTCATGTTTATCCACGCATATGTTTGTGTACACAAACTGACTGCATGTGTACCAAAATACACATCACATGGAAACATGCATCAGTATTTTACATACAGATGAGTTTTGCTGCTACAATTCAGATTATGGTCAGAAAAATGGAATATATGCCATGATTTTGAGAAACTGATATCTAAATCACCTACAGATTAAAACTGTTTATATCTTAAATAATCAAGAGGATGCTAGGTTTTGAAGATTTACAGAGCATCCATTTTGTAGCTGTTTCTACCCATTTGATAAGTCCAAAATACATAATTTGGCTTGAGGGTAGTCCTGTTAATTCTGTTTTCTTCATCTTTGCTCCCAGTCTTAGGGGCCCTTGGGCAATTCCACACTGTAAATTTATGCATCTGCAAAATCAGATGGAAAAAAGCCATTGCTCAAGGTCCAGGAATCAGAGGGTCACTGAGGTCCAAGCATCCTGCGCTGTCACCAAGTCGCTGCTGTCACTGGAGACAAACACACCTGACAGCCCATGCAGTACCACCACGAGTGTGCTTTCCAAATCGCAACGCCCGCCAGTAAAACGCGAGCATGACAATCAAGGTGGTGAGGGCTGCAGAGGAGAACACGTAACGGGGGCAACAGAGAGTCAGCCTCTTCTTCAATGAACTCATGCCCATGACACACAAAAGGGAAGTGAAGAGGTCGAGGAGTGTGGATCCTTCACGTCCCCTCTGTGAAATGCTCACCCCGACCACTGTTCACATGCAACCTGCAGCCTCCTCCCAGAGGCGGAAGTCACCCCAGACCACCCTGAAAAACTGCTACATTGTAGGCTTATATAAATAGTTGTTACACTGCACTGTTTAAGGAATAGCCATGAGGACAAGACTGTCCCTGTTCTGCAGAGGTGCAGCTTTTTTCCCTGAATATTTTGTGTCTCCACTTAGCTTGGTGTACAGATGCGAAGCCCAGGGATACTGAGTCCACCGCAGAAAGTGGCATTTAGAAACTAAACACCTGCCCAGTCCCACTACCCAGCAGGGTGGCTGCTGTCATCTCAAGGGAAGCTTTTCCAGTGTCCTGGGCCCGCTGTGCAGTGTGAGGAGTTTGCTTCTGGGTGGACACGGCCAGAGCCACATCCCGGGCAGGACCGGAAGGAAGGAGCTGGACGAGTATCGCTTCCATGTGTCCAGTCTGATGGGGCTGCCTGGCTCTCTGGGGCGACAGCACCTGGCTGGAGGCCCCGGGAATGGTCCCTCTGGGTGACCAGAGACACACTGAGTGCAGGTGGGTCCATCCTCAATTCCTGCTCGCTCTGAAACCGGCTGGAAAACTCCAGTGCATTCTGGTCTGCTGTGCTCTGGACCCCTGCGGCCCCACACTGCTCCCTCTCGGCGTGCTGTCCGGCTCCGATGCTGTGCCATTGACATCCTCCTCCCCCAGCAGCAGGAACTGCCAGGGGATCCACAGACACCTCTGATGAGTGGAAGCAAACGTACACAGGACCCCGGGGCTCCAGGTCATGTTGAAATTCCTCTGCTTCCCTCAACTTTGAGCCTGACATTCTTAGAAAGTAATCCGTGTGCACAGAATAGTTTTTAAAAGTTCCTGTATCTAGCATGTGAACACGTTATCTCATCTAACATTTGCACAGGGTTGGAGGAAGGACATGGTCTAGCCTTCCTTGGTCAGTGTTCATAAATTTCATTCCGGAGATGCTTCGTTATAAGAGAATATCTCTGCTGTCCAAAACCCCTCTGAAAGCAGAGGTCTGTCCATGCATGACAGTCAGACCTTCAGTTTGGTTCAGTGACTCCGGAAAGATGTGCTCATCTAGCCCAGCCTGTGAAGAAGGCATGGAGGAAGAAACACACTCGGGACCCCACTGATGGGGGAGAGCCAGGGCCATGGTGTAACAAAGGCCTCAGCCAGCTGCAGATAGCCCCTGCCAGTGGGAGAGTGAGGCAGGAGAATTGCAAGTTCAAGTCCAGAACTCAGTCCTACTCAGTAGGACTCTCTCAAAATAAAGAATACAATGGGCTGTGGATGCAGCTTTGTGGTAGGGCACCCAGAGCTCCATCCCCAGAGCCACAACAGGGCAGAAACAGTAAACTGTGCTTCTGGTCCACGCTGCTGGCAACATCCCTGGACCCCCACGTTGGCTTATGTTAAAAATAACACCATTGAATGGAGGAAGAAACCTTGAGTCTTAAAGATTTATTATTTTCAACGGCAGATGCCATCATTTCCGACATCCAGTCTTTGAAAACATTAATTTAAAGTTTTCACGGCTTATGTAAATTACTATCCAAATGAAAATTTAATTTCTTCCTCTACATTCAGGCTTTTGACCTCCAGTGTCTCCTGTTTTGAACCTTTCCGACCAAGCTGCCCTGAACACCTGCAGCCTGGATACACAGCCGCTCTGCCCACTGCCAGGCCCAGGCTCTGTGGCCTCCTCTCAGGAAAGGGAATATGGATGGCCCTCAGTCCCTCCATGAATTTTTTATTTTCTTTAATGACTAAAGAGTAGGACAGACCTTTAAGTGGCTCCAGAATTTCAAATATCAAGAGAACTCAAATTTCAACAACGGAGACAGCCATTGCCCTGATCAGATAAGTACTTTTTGGAGGGTAAACAAATCAAATATGCATTAACCTCTGCCTGATCTTCCACAGTTTCCTGGGCTATTTCAGAGCCCGCTGTACTTGCAGAACAATTAGCGGTAGAAGGATCACGCGGAAAGTCACCCTTCCTAGGATTCTAATGAAGGTGTTTCAGAATTGAAGTCTTCAGGCATTCTGCAAGAAAGAAACACTCCCTGTAGGTAGTTTCAGAATTGCACTTTTTCCTAGCTGGCCCTGGAGCTGGGAGCCTTAGGGTGGTGGTTGGGTTTTAATCCCAAGCACTTGTGAGGGACTCCCCACTGTGTGACCAGAAAGAGAAGCTAGAACTGGCAGCACAGGAGCCTGGGAGAGAGCCTGCAGCCTGCTTCTTGCTGTTGACCCCTCTGCTGATAAGCAAGACCATTCGGGTGCTCCTCCCAGTACAGAGGAGCCCCACATCTCAGCTTCTCCGTCTCTAAAAGGAAAATAGAGACATTCAGATTTTCACCATCAGTGGAAGTCCAGAGTGCAATCTTCCTGCTTCCCACTAA